AAATGACAGACAGAATGAAATACCTTGTAAAATACGGCTAGAACAGAGTCCTCCCTTATTGGAATCCCAGGTGTGGGATCGGAATGCCTTTGACATTCTCAACACCAGACCTGGGTTTGAGAAAGGCCAAACCATTTGTGCATGTCGTGAACCACTTGATCCTTCCATTCAAAAGGAAAATACAACTTTTAATCCATACTCTACCCATAGCTGGATGAAGCACAATTAAAGTAATGCTAACCAGAATTCTAGAAACAGAAACCGGCCATTAAGAGTGGCAAGAGTCTTTATTTCCTATCCCACCTCCACCCCATCCCAAGCCCCTATCTGCAGGATATGAACACATTAATTTAACCTAACGGCGAACGTGTTCCCATCTGCAAACATTTCCCTAAAGGTTTCCTTGGGCAAGGAACTCTTTATCGGTGCCTGGACTAACACAGCAGTAACTTAGCTACATCGGTCTTCCTGCTGCTGCTAGTCCAGTTTCGCCTCAGTATTTATCTAGCTTCGAAAGAACAAGGTGCTTTCTCAACATGAGAAAACAAAAATCCGCCTTACAGTCTCGTCAGGAGCAAAGCAGGGAATACAAACTTGTCCCACTTCAAAGCACAAGGCCTATCTTTCACTAACTAAACAGTAACCCCTGCCGGAGTAACAATGCAAGCTTTCTTCCCTATTATTGTTTGAAACAATCACAGGCTATTTGTTCATATTAATTAGCTTATATCTAGTATTAGGCAGCCTTGATTAGGAAAATGCTCTTTGTTACCAAATGAATAGAGGAAAACAAAACCAAAAGCTTTTTTTTTTTTAATTGTTGTTTTTGCCTTAGAAAAGGATTGTCAGGCCTTTCACACTCGAATGTAGGTTTATCTTTACACAGGTCCCTGAATTCACTCTAGAAGAACGCAAGTGGATGTGCCAGACAATACCAGGCTAAGCTGATTGAGTGAACTGCTTATTTCACCTTTGCCTGAGGAGACAGTATATTTAAATCACTTTTACCTTCTCTGAACCTGGAGAAACCTTAATAATGGGAGAGTAGACATCCATACAGACTCGGGGGCAAGGGCAAGTCAGCCTGGGACTAAAATCTGACTACACAAATTACATGTGAAGAACAGATATACAGATCATCACGAGGCACATCATTGACCAGAGGACCTGGGAATGAAGTGACCCAGGGATCTGCAGGTTTCCAGAAGAGTAAGCTCCTGGGACCTAATCCCCTTGTTTACAGCTGACTCCTTCCAGGTGGGCTTGGGTTCCTCCAACAATCAGAGGCTACTTGTTCCCAGCATTATGTTAAGAATAATGGGACTTGCTACCCTCGTTGAGATTAATTAATGAACTTGTTCAACAAGACTGTCGAAAGTCAGGGTTTGACAGCCCCAAGACTCCAAAGCTTCACAGGTTTCAAGATTAATGTTCAGGGGGTGCCTGGGTGGCTCAGTCGTTAAGCGTCTGCCTTCGGCTCAGGTCATGATCCCAGGGTCCTGGGATCGAGCCCCGCATCGGGCTCCCTGCTCAGCGGGAAGCCTGCCTCTCCCTCTTACACTCCCCCTGCTTGTGTTCCTGCTCTTGCTCTGTCAAATAAATAAAACCTTAAAAAAAAAAGATTAAAGTTCAATTCCTCAATATAGCTTGCAAAGCGCTGCAAGAATCTTCTCCAACCTTGTAACCTACCCCATCTACCTCCTCTACAAGCAGAAGTATGCTGATAAATATCTAACAATGGGCTCTTAAGAGCCAGGGACTGTGTTTGCCAATTTCCATGGTTAAATACTCCACCCTGGCTGATTGCAAGCTATAAGCATGAAGTCAATTGGCTCACACAGTTTCTGAAAACTTAACAGTCAGATCTTGGCTGGCTCTAGCACATCTCTGCTTGTGACCTCACACCTCAGCAGACAGCAACTATCCTGAACGAACCTCCAAATGCTGTGCTCTCGCTCTCCCCTTGGGACATTCGACGTTCACAAATGTTTCTCCTCCCTTGTCAAAGGAAGGATACATTAGCTCCCAGCCTGGCAGTCTTCCTTCCAGAAGCCTTTCCCTGACTGCTTTGACTTTACTTCTAAAGTCCCCATACTTCTATCCTAGCAGGTGTGACACCGCTAATTTTTTGTTTCCCTGTCTGTATGTTTCCCACTACATTTCTAAACCCTGTTTCTCTTACTTATTCTTGGATTCCCCAGGCCTGCCACAGTGAGCTTGCTGAACACTATTAACTAAGATGTACTGAACACTATGTGCCAGATTTTGTTCTAAGTTTTATACATATTACCTCATTTCACCCTTAAAACAATCCTATGAAGTTGGTTCTGTAATTTTTATGTTCATTTTGCAGATGAGGAAACCGAGGCCCTCACAGGGTGGATACCCTTCTCCCACCCCCACGGGCTCAGGTAGTAAATGCTGGAGCCAGGATTTAAACCCCAGGCGGCATGACTGGAGAGCTCTTGCACATCCAGCCCAGGGTTTGACTTTTTTTTCCCCCACTGGCAATTCTCAATGAGAAAATTTTACTTAAATTTAAATTCTCCCTAATGAGAGAAATTAAATATTAAGGGATAGGATGTCATCAGGTAGGGTTAAACTTTAGAGGGACTTTTTCTATCTCCCCAGATCCAATTTTTGCACTCTTGGGGAAAACATTCCCATTGACAATGTATCTTCTAGACCTTTTACTATGTGCTTACATTAATGTACCACATGGTCATCCCTAAAAACATATGATCTTGTTTTACAGTTTGAATGGTATCTTCCTGAATTAGTCTGCATTTTACTTTCTTTCTCCTCCAACAGGTATCTTAGGGAGATATAGCTGTGTTGAGATAAATATTTATCAATTTTTTTAACTGCTACATGGTACTTAAAGCATATCAGCATGCCTGAATTTATTGTCGTTCCACTATCGTATATTCAGAAAGTTTTGTACTTCTCGGCCTTCAACTAATGCTTCAGTGAATATCTCTATGCATGTCCCCTTGGTGTTTTTCTAATGTAGTTACTGAGATGGGAAGAGGGTATATGCAAAAGAGATAGGATTTTAATAGATGCTATCAAATTACCCTCCAGAGTGACTGTACCAATTTACCTTCCCACAGAGGATTTACAAGAGCCCATATTTTCCCCAAGTGTTTATATTAAATACAACATCTTCCTATCTTGGGCAGTGTAAACATTTTAATTAAGTGAGTCACTGAGAAATATTTCTCTTGCTCGCCAGCTGATAATAGCTTGTGTACGAGGAAAGAGGCGCGTGGATAAGATGCTCCTCCTGGAGATGCTGAAAAATGCACCAGTGAGACCCAGGAGCTGAAACCCTTGCCCAGAAAACCTGTGCTCACCACCTCACTTCACCACAGGCTCAGAATGGCTGCTGCCTGGGGACCACCGTGGAGGACTCCGACGTGGTGACCTCGGGTAACGGGCACTAAATCTCGTCACCCACTCATAAAGTCTCTGCAGCACCAAAAACCCCACTGAGGGGAATGGAAACCAAACAGCCCAAGTCAATGAAATGCTGAAAAAGCAAGATCCAGTTGCCAGACAGAGAATACACACGATGGCGGTCACACGAAACTTTCTGGAAAATACCAAATGTTTTAAAATCTTAAATAACAGGAGGACTTTATCCAGATGATCCAATTCCAAGGTCTTTTTTTTTTTTAGAAGAGACAAGAAGCATTTATATATACATGAAGTAAAAACGCTCCCTTCTTCCTCCCCCTTCTCCATTCCCTCCTCCACATACCCCTACCTTGAAATACATACAGAATCTAGTAGCCTGAAAAACGATACAGGACAAAAAAAAAAAGTGTGGAAGAACATTCTGTATCATCAAGATTTAAACTTCAAACAATATGGCTCTTTTTTCAAGGGTATACTTTTTTTCTTTAACCTTGGCTTAAAAATGATGATCACTGGGGTGCCTGGGTGGCTCAGTCATTAAGCGTCTGCCTTCAGGCTCAGGTCATGATCCCAGGATCCTGGGATCGAGCCCCGCATCGGGTTACCTGCTCCGCGGGAAGCCTGCTTCTCCCTCTCCCACTCCCCCTGCTTGTGTTCCCTCTCTCGCTGTGTCTCTCCGTCAAATAAATAAGTAAAATCTTTAAAAAAAATAATAATAATAATGATCATGAATGAGATGGGGAAGGTCACACTCTAAAAGGGAGAGAAGATGAAGGAAGAGCAGATGGGAAACCAGTTGTTGAGCACCTACTATGTGCTCTGTGTATATCCCATCATTTAATCCACAGAACCATCCCGTGAAGTATGGTGACATGAGAATACATGGAAGCTGAACGAGGTCAGCACGATGAAGGCCATGCAACCATCAGGATCTGACTTCAGGTCTAATGCTTACAAAGGCTGTTTCCCCACTAGACCACACTTCCTGCTAAAATGGAAAGAATCCAGTTACTACTCTAGTAGATCCAATTGTAAAATAATCTGCAGGCAATGTTCTTGCCACGTAACTGCTCTTCGCTGGACAGAAAAAGTAACTTGTGACTACTGTTCACAAGTTCCTGGAGGTGCATCTTCTTTTCAAAGCTCCTAGAACAGGTCAAGGCAAAATAGTAATAAGAGGAAGCAGACAATGAGACTGCATTCAGAAAACGTCCAAGATAAGATCTGTTTTGAGATAGTTCATTAAAACCCTAAAAAAGCCAAGAGAGGGAAAGCAGCAGGCTTGACCATCAACTGTCTTGACTGGGAGTTTGATGCCTATAGGAACAGCCAGACATTCAAAGCACTGAAAACCAAGACCGCGATGCACAGAGGCTGGTCCACTATCATTACTTGCTCATTGTTCCAGCTGCTTCTTGAACTCAATAGCACCTCCCCCACGAAAGCACTGTTATCCAAACGCCCACCAAATGATCATTAGAAGGTTGCACACCATCCCTAGAGTCAGACGCACCTTCTGAAATTTACATATCTGACGAAACTAAGATTAGCACAAACTTAAGCGAGGTTGAATCACTTACCTGTGGTTGTGAATTTACAGGGGTTGAAGTGAAGGCAGCAACCATGGCAGCTCTGTAGTTGTGGGCAGTGACCAGGCCCCAGCACAGCAGTGCCAGCCACAGGAGTCAAGTTACCTTGGTTGTTGATCAGATCACAGTCATGCTAGGAGGAGCTGTGCACCTGGAAAAGGACAGGAAAATCCACATTTAGCCTGAAAGGACTAGGGCGTGGGAGTGAAGTACCACTGGCCCGAGGAAGCAAAAATCCCCATACCATGTACCAACTCCTAGCTTAATGAAAAGAACCCAGAAGGGAGCATCGAACATCTCAGAGCCAGGACTCCCGTACCACTCAGCCAAATCATGTTAGGTTGATGTATTTTCAGAAGTCTGAATCCAGCTGTCCTTGCTAGCTAGATGTTTTGAGGAGGCCATTTCAAGCTGTAAAGCTGGGGACAGGGGGCCCAGAGGAGACACCATTCCATCATTCAACAATAAAGGACCCACGATTAATAACTGCTGGTTTAAATACAAAGGGCAAAGAGAATAAGACCATCAAGTGTCTTAAAGATCACCCAGTTCAAGTGTACCCATCTGCAGATGGAAAACTGAGGTGTGGAGAAGAAAGAAACTATAGTCTCACAATTCGTTAATGACAGAAGCAGGAATGGAACCACAAACAATTTCCAGTCTCGTATGGAATGTAAGACAGTGAGTATGTTCCATGTTTACATTTCCTCAGGAAACTTAGTCACCACTAAGATTAAAGAAAGGCAAGACATCCCAAAGTTACAGGAGTCAGTTACAAGAATGAATCAAGTACTCCAACAGGTGGTGGGGGGCTTCTTCTGTCTTGCCCACAAGTGGGGGAAGAGTGAGGGCATTTCTACAGTCTTTTTGACATCCTCAGAGAGAGGATGCTAGATAGGCACAAAATATAAACAAGTCTTCTGTTACTAATATATTCATTAAGGAAACTCAAAAAGATGCTGAATTCTCTGCAGTAAAGCATGGCCCCAGTTCTGTCCAAAGACCGATATGATTGTTTCCACACTGCAATAAGATCCATGGGGAATCTTTTCCATTTTAAGAATTTACGAAAAGTCTTCCCAAGAAAAGTTCTCATTTTTAGGTTGTTTTCAGACCACCTAATGATATCCTTTCTTTTATTCAAAAGATATTTATTAAACATCTACAGTGAACCAGGAGCACAATGAATAAAACTGAGCCAGCCCCTTGACCTCAGGGAGCTTTTGTCTGGAAATATACTTTCTCGTTTCACTAGCATGCAAGATGATACCGCAACACTTCTCAACTACTGGAAGATGATACTTTCCATTATAGCAGAAGTAAAGATTTAACTCTTGAGCTGGACATTTAATCCAAGCCTTCTGAACACCGAATTCTCTGGCACTACTCTGTCCCAGCTGGATGATGTCGGGCAAGTCACAAAACCTCACAACTGTGTCCTAAGAAATAATCTAGGTTTGGCAGCAACTTCTATGAACGTGAAGTTCTGATTTTTATCCTGTCTTTGCATATTACCCTTCAATACTAGAGTTTCAATCACTTTAGGTTTTATTTAAAACTATGGCTCCTTCCTAACTTTCTCTTCTCTGTTAGAGTGATTATAGTTATTAACAGGTAAGGAGTAAAGCTGTCAAAGTATTTTGGTATAACATTCAACACTAAATTCCTTAGGTGCCCTAATGTTCTCCTTAATCCTAGCTTTAGAGGGGAAAAAAAAGACCCGTTGTTTATTATACCGCGAATCTAAGTGAACAGCCTGGGAGAAAGGTCTATGTATAGGGGACTGCCTTTTTGCTTGAGTGCCAAGCCTACACTGAGAAAATTATAGGACCCCCATGGTGCACTGTTTTGTACTGAACTTACTCCTGGCATCATTTGTCCCCACCCCTACTTTTTTTATTTTTCCTCTTTTCTTCTCACGTTATTTATAATTCACATCATCTTACTCTATCATATGTGGGGTGGGGACAGATGAATATACAAATAGCATGATAACCAAAAAAACAAAATAAGCAGGCAAGTGAGATTCTATTCTGAAAGACTCACACTTTGTGCTCGGGTCCAATATCTAAGTCATTAAGCAATATGACCTTAAAAGATTTTCAATGCTCCGAGTACAGAGACTTGCCTGAAAGATGAATAACCAAACTGGGATTTAATGAAAGCCTAGGAGATGCTGGGCACTGAGAAACTCATTTCGCATACAGGTTAAGGCGCTTATTGTTAACTCATTTCATGGACAAGAACCCTGAGGCTTTAAAAGTTTGTGTAGCATACATAACCAAAGCCACACGGCCCCTTAGACATCCTTGAGACACGTAAGAGCTAGCCCAGACTCTTAGTTTCCCATCCTCAAGAAGCAAGCAAGAAAATAAGGCAGAAACTTAACTGCCTTCTCCTAAAGCAGACCTATCGAGTTGTGAGGCTTTTGCGGAACCTTTTCTTACATGACGGGAGTCCTTTATGAAATGGCATATGGTTAACTTAACTCTAACAATGCAAGGCCTAAGCAATACTACCGCAAAGGGTATAAATCAGCTCTCTTGGGGAAGTGAAGGCCTAAAATTACATTTATAAAACCTATGTACTTCCCAGCTTATTTACCAAAGTGCACAGATCATGGGGGTTGAGACAAGATGACAAAACGACATCCTACATACTGCCATTCAGTCCCTAACTAAGTAAGTGGTCTCACTGTGACCATACAAGTCTCCTGCTGTCCCAGAGCCTCGCAACGTCAACCACAGCATCGCACCGAATTTCTGAACCAATTCATCCCTCTTTGAACTATTCCAAGAATCTGGATGCCTGCCCTGTAGTTCTTCCAACCTGCCATCAATCCAGCTCTCGTTTCCTTTGCTTGAGCTGGAAGATTTTGCTCCAGCTACAGAGAGTCACGGAGCGAGGGGCCCTGCTGACCCCAGCTGCCTTTGGGTCATAACTGTGGCCCTTGCCCTCCTTCTCTACTTCTCTTCATTCTCCATTCTAGGCATCTCTTCTGATCTGTACCATTCTTCCCCAAACCACAAACCACTTCTCATGCCCTTCACTTGCAAAAGATCAGCCATCACTTATTTATTTACTGGCCCATTCATCTATTCCTCTTTAGTCATTGGGTATGAATTAACTCATTATCCCTCCCTACGATTCAACACAGATGTACAAAATACAATCCATAAGTAAGAAAGCTACATAGGGGGGCGCCTGGGTGGCTCAGTTGGTTAAGCGACTGCCTTCGGCTCAGGTCATGATCCTGGAGTCCCAGGATCGAGTCCCGCATCGGGCTCCCTGCTCGGCAGGGGGTCTGCTTCTCCCTCTGACCCTCCTCCCTCTCATGCTGTCTCTCATTCTCTCTCTCTCAAATAAATAAATAAAATCTTAAAAAAAAAAAAAAAAGAAAGCTACATAGGCTCATTCCTCTGTGCCAGATTACTAGAGAAATCACCAATTGACTCTAAGAATAGGAAATATCCTGAATCAGCCCTAGAAGCCACAGATGGAACCCAGCTATTGCTTGAATTTTCAGAAAAAATATACTAGAAAGAATCAATATGGGAGGCTGACAGAAGGACTAAGGTACAACATCCCCTTCATGCGAAACTGCACTGAATGGACAGAAAATAAGCGAATGAGACCCTAATAGACTCATAATGATACTCCTAGTTCAGAGGGATGAGGGGTGGAGGGAGTGAAGCCAGGAAGCACTGGTGTCCATTTCAAATACACTCACCCCTTAGATGGGTTTCCTGGCTTCAACTGAGCAAGTCATCTCCGGTGGTATTTACTTCTGATTTACATGTGGCCATGATGACTGCCCCAGAAAACGTGTGGGAAAAAACTCTACCAGCTGGCTTCTGACATGGGCAACCTTGCCAAGTGACAATGACCTTACTAATTACTGAGTGCCACATCAAATACCTAAAAGAAAGTCTTTGGTTCTGAGGCAAACTCCCCTTTGTTTACTTCTGCAGCTGATGCTGGCTCCTTCCCTAGGCCTCATAGGAAGATGAATTTCTAATTGGCAAATTAATGTGTACTATAAATCTAACCATTTTTCTCTATCTGGACTTGAGTCAAACAGTGACTCATTTCAGTCTCTTGAAAGAACACAGGGCAATACCCAATACTGAATATGCATAGACTTCCCTCTCTATGGATAAGCAACAGAGAAAAATCCAAATCCACTAAGCAAATGAAAAATATTATGGCTCAAGAGAAGGGAAGATTCTAGGATCAGAGCAAATATTTCCTTAAGGAATGAGTGTACTATATTAAGAAAAAAACTTTAAAAATTATGAGGTAAGAATGAATCTGCGTTAACCAAAAAAAAAAAGAGAGAGAAAAAATCTGATTTATGAACTTGAATGAAGGTGGTCAATAAAGCAGGAAACAGAATAAAAAATAAAGCAAAAAACAGTTTTTGTGAAACAGAAGATAAACCAGAGCTTAGTCAGGGAGGTACTTACATGGGTAAAGATTTCAAAGCTGCCATCCCCAAAACATAACAGATGAATGAAAAGTACTAAAGGGGAAAGGAAAGAAGTCATCAATGCTACAACCAGGAAAGAGTAAATTTATCTTTAAAGCTTTAAAAAAGCATTACATATAAATAAAGCCTTTTAGATGAAGTAGGAAAAAATTCCAGACTTTAAATTTGTGTATCCTTCTGCAGAAAGCTCTATAGTCTGGCAGAAACCAAGTAGAAAAAAATACTCTGAACCTCAAACCTGGAGGAACAAGAAGATGTGATATAGGAAGGTCCAAAATAGCATCAGAAGCCGGCCTTATAGCATCTAAGAACTAATGCTCTTCTCTGGATTCTAAGCAGATGAAAACATAACACCAGAACCATAGTAACACCAGAAAGGTAACATTGCACCCACTGAAACAAAAACAGGCTACTTAACAAATGCTAATTCAAAATGCAGTAGAAAGATTGGAATATCAAGTTAAGAAACTTGCCCAAAATGTAGAGCAAAAAAATAAAGGAAAATAGAATAGTAAGAAGGAGAAAGGTGGGGGACTAGTCAAGGAGATCCAATAGCTAAAGAAAAGCAATTCCAGAATGAAATAATAAAAGAAATGGGGGATGGGGGGAGTCACATAACTCAAAACATTTCCTAAAATGGAAAAGTCATAAATTTGTTGACT